TCAACATACTTTGAACTCGGCATACTTCCAGTTCGGCATACTCCCGAACTCGGCATACTTCCAGTTCGGCATACTCCCGAACTCGGCATACTTCCAGTTCGGCCAGCATACTCTGGACTCGGCATACTTCAATAAGGAACTACTTCAAGTTCAGCATACTCTGGACTCGGCACACTTCCAATTCGACATATTCCGGATTCGGCACACTTTCAACAGGCATACTTTTAGTAGAGAATCAGAGGACTTCTCCCATACAGAGATTGTACCCCTTCCCGTTTGATATATACTTGATACTACTTGTAACCGACATACTTTGAATTTTGAATATATAAAATTTGAATTTTTCGCGTTACACCATGGACGTGCAAGAATATGTTTTCAGTAATTAATAAAGTGTGGGCTAGTTAACTGTTGGTGAGACATATATTTACATCTCGTATTCCATGTTGTATTAATTCGTGTGCATGCTTTTAATTTGTCATGTGCCGCAGTTTGATAACAGACAGAACGAATAAATCACATTATCATTTTACATTGCATCAGACGTATAGGTGAATGACACTACAGAGTGCAAAGATGTAATATCTCTTGGAATAATTGATGAATTTATCTTAGAATGTGACGAGATAGTAAAGCCTTACTTTGGTCAACGTTTTGAGACAGTGGAGCAAGGCGTTGAGTTTTTTTGAACGGTATATAACCGTGATAGGTTTCAACGTTAGATGCAGCACAATGAGAAAGAGTGGACATGGAGAGTTTTTAGTGAAGTATTGAAACTATAGATAGGAAGGGGGACAAGAGATTTGAAACTATGTACTACTACACACAACTTCGTCTAGAGTGCACCCAATGAAGACCGCAGCTGCACACAAGTTGTTATTAAATGCGCCAGTACGCAATTTGAGCTGTATTTATGAAAATTTTATGCATTATTTCCTTAATAGTTACAATTGAATCTCAAAAATAATTTAAATCCAGGCCTCTCTCCCATTTGTTAGCAGAAAAGGTGAATAGTGACATAACTAGTTACTCTTTTTAAGGTTTATTTATTGACGGAATATTATGAATGAAAGAATGTTATGTCTCATACTAAAATTAAATAACCACTTCATAATACTCATTATCTATATATATAGGATGTGTCATATGAAAACCAAGTCTACAGATGAATTATAAATCCCAAGTGCACAGAGTGAAGACTACATATGCACACATGATCAATAAGCACGGAATTATATCAGGCATAAGTGTAATCACGTCACAAGAGATTTAAAAATCACAAGTGCACAGTGGCACAAATGTACTGTGTGTTGGACACGTGAAACAAATACGATGAAAACATATATAACACGCCATACAAACATGTGAGATTAGTTTGGTGACACATGACAAACACAGATAAGCACACAAATATCATTAACTGGACACCGAATGACCAGAACGTAAATAGACTGATATTCCTAAAAACTCCATCTAAGTTCTAAACAATGTTATTGGGTGAAAGCCATAATTGAACATGAGCACATACAGCAAACTTGGCCATGGCCAACATACTAACCCAACAGCCACAAAAATAAATAAATAAATAAATAAATAAATAAAATAAAAAATAAAAAACAAAACAAAAAAAAAAACAAAAACAAAAACAAAACAAAAAAAAAAACAAAAACAAAAAACAAAAAAACAAAAACAAAAACAAAAAACAAAAAGCAAAAAAGTCAAAAAAAGTCACAAAAAAAAAAAAAAAAAAAAAAAAACCAAAAACAAAAGCAGTGAAAAGATATGTAACAACTTAAACTCTGGTACTACAGTCACGGCTCGAAAAATAGTGCAAAGCATGTGCCACATTGTTCGTACGGTGTGCATTGATATCTATTGTACAAATCTCCTTCATGCAATGTACCATATGTTTTTGTTCTGATGCTTAAAACTGATTTTCCCTTTTATCCAAACAGGTTGAATCTACAAGTTGTCATGAGTAAAAAAATTAATGTTATGTATAAAATATTGAATTAGTGTGTAAAATTAATTTTTATATACCGGATCAATTGATGTAGGGATAATAGCAATTGTAGAAATTTCTGCAGCTTCTAGATTTGCAAGTTTTATTGCAGCGTCATTGTAGTCATTGACATAGTTTTAATGCATCAAATGTAGCACGATGCTTTGTTCCCCTAATAATACATACAAAAGAATTGTATTTTTAAATACATACACTTTTAGCCCTCAACCCCAAAACCCTTTATTATCCCATTTGACCCGTCCACAGCTGCAAATTTCTCTTTAGATCATCATTCTTTGATAATCAAGTCTCTTATTTTCAAAAAAAAAAAAAAAATCTCAATTCGTCGTTACTGTTCAAATTAAAGACGCACGTTGCGTGATTAGACCCATGCCCAATGTGTATTTTTAAATTAGTGTTTCATAATTGTTAAACATATTCATATAATAATGAGAGAGATAAAAATGTTAAAATCTGTTATAGTATACATTTTACCGTTCGTTCAAGGCATAGTAGGGCAGTGCAGATGTGGTGATTAAATTATAGAAATACTGGAACAGTTCTGTAATTTTACACAGTAAAGACAGACTAATATTGTCCAAATTTCAACTGTTAATTTTTTATTTGATTTCACATTTTTTTTTTGTTTTTCCCATTGGAATGGTGATTTTCACGCAAATTAGGCACATATAGTCATATATTGTTACTGTAAGGATATTCAATAAGAATTAAATAGTAAGCTACTCAATATAGCCACAAATATCTTACTCAAAAAATATATGTATCTCCTTCTAAACTACTATTTCTGAGATACGATGTATGAAATTGTCCACATAGTAAACCCTTTGGTGTTTTATTTAAAGGCAACATATACATACAAAAACTAAACCCCATGCACTTTCTTATATACTTATATAAGTTACCAATGTTGCTGTGAAGAATCCGATTCAAGAATTGTTGAGTCAATTATTGTCGGATATCATAGATTTGATAAAATTGAAGGTGATTTGATCTTGGTTACCTAGAAGAGAAAAAAAAAAAAAAAAAAAAAAGGTGAACATTAATTACATATATCACAATCACTGGTCATAATAATGTTTAGAGGTTAATAACAAGCATTTTGGTTGATGAAGTGCAGAATTAACTTATTCTGAATTTAGATAAGACAATTTATAATAATAATAATAATAATAATAATAATAATAATAATAATAATAATAATAATAATAATTGCCTAAGCATTATTACTTTCTCATGCATTTAAAAGACTATCTTTTCCTAATCATAATTAAAAAACTTTAAGAAATTCATCACAATATGACCTGAACCCATAATCTCCAAAAAGAAATCATGAGTAAACAACATTAAGGACATAGTAACTTGGCCAACAAAATATTCTCAAACTATTAGGAAATGATCCAGAACTAAAAAAAAATGCACAAAAATTAGCGTTACACAAATCAAGCAATCCTGTTAAGGACTTATGTTCAAACTGCCTGCAGAAGCATTCATAAGAATCATCAAATTTGGTTGCTACTGCTTTAGCTAGACAGGTATATACTACACAGTTTGAACATTGGGCCAAAAAAAATAGGAACCACACACAAACTAATAAATTAAAGTTGGGAAACACCATAAATAAAACTGGTCAGAAAGCTGAAATTCATAAGAAAATTTCTCTAATAGCTCCACTAAAACCTTCTAAGTTATCAAAATTAAAGCTGAAAACTTAAAAAGCAGAATCAATGAATTAATGGAAATACTTTTAATAATCTAACAAATAAATATAAGGAGTTCCACACGACGGTAAGCCGCAGAGATTCCGCATAAAAACAATGAACGAAGACACCTTAAAAATAAATAAGAAATTAACTCTCAGAAAAATAATGCATAAAAATAAATTAATCTAGCCTTAATAGGAAGGTACCATATGTTTCACAGGAAGCAAGCAAGCATAAGGAATCTGTGAACAACTTAATCTAGCCTTCATAGGAAATAAGCACAAGCAAATTTGCACACAACTCTCTGCTAACAAGATCTCTACTCTATTAATGAGAGATTCAATATCATCACCAGATATGTTAACCTATCTAACCTGAAAGAAAAAAAAAAAACAATTGGAATGGAAAGTTTATAAATTTATAAGATAATGAGCATAAGATAAACCAGTTATATAAAGCTAACTTTGTGATTAATCCAATTCATCAGCTTGTCTTGCCAAGGGCAGCAGTAGTTATGCAAATTTAGTTAATTCCTGCTATGATCTGAATCAATTAGGCGGTTGTGCTTCTCGTAATTGCCATTCAATTTCACGTAAACTTCAGATTTGCCACCGCGCAACTTTATTTGACAGAGTCGTTAAATTTAACCGTGTAAGTTTTTAAAATTAAGAAGAATGAGGTTATATTAGGATTTTAAGTTGGCATTGTACAATTAGAAAAGCGCAAAGTACAATTTAATTAGAAAAGCGCAAAGTACAATTTTGTTGAGCATGTGTTGTTAGTAATATAAATAATTGTATTTAATTTATAGTATATGGTTTGTATATGTGGTAGAGAATTAGTCTAATCAAGCTTTAGCCTATAGAATAGGAGCTTTGTATATAGGACTCTAATTGCTTGTCTGAGTTCAATTGAATCAGTTATTCACATTCCGCAATCTCATCGTACCGACATTTTTTTAACAATATTGGCTCTTATTAAAGTTGTAAATAATGCACTACACCCTCAACACTTACATATAAGTTGTAAATAATGCACTACACCCTCAACACTTACATAGCATGGAGTGACTCTCCTAAGTAGGAGGTCAGGGGTTCAAGCTTCAATAGTAGATTGAGAAAGTATATCAATAGTAGTCAAAAATATGTATATACTTTGTATTAACTTAACATATAAAAAAAAAAAAAATTCTATAATTGAAGTTGCATAATGCATTCTAGAAGACGTGTTTAATTCCTTTTGCTCTAACGCATCCATATCCACTTTGTACTCTATCTATGGTGTGCTGGAACATATGGAGCCTAAGGAATAACATTGTCTGGAACAATCAGAGGTTGGAATCGGCAAGGAGCCTAAGGAATAACATTGTCTGGAACAATCAGAGGTTGGAATCGGCAAGCAGCTTGATCTTCAAAACTAAGACCTATTATGCAGCTTGGCTTGCAGCAACGACAGATAAGCAGCAGAACCAGAGGAATATCGCAGCTGTTGATCGGTGGATAAAACCACAACAAGGCTTCATGAAGTTGAATGTAGATGCCGCCATCAACAAGGAAGAAAGCTGTATGGGGTTCGGTTGTGTTTTACGTGATGACCAAGGATGTTTCGTGGCTGCTAGAGGGGCTAAATGGAGAGGTACATACATGGCCAAAGAGGCTGAAGCAATGGCGATACGAGAATCCTTAACATGGCTCAAATATGTCACTCTCAACAAAGTGGTAATCGAGTTTGATTCCTTACAAGTTGTCCAGAATTATCACTCTACTTCAGGAAATTCTTACTTTCATGTTATTTTAGGTGATATTAAAAACTTAATGAGCTTGTTTGCTCAAAGTAGTTTAGTGTTCACTAAGCGATCTGCGAATCAGGCGGCTCATTTGTTAGCGGCAGTCTGTTTCTTTGTCTGATTGCTCAGAGTGATTTTTGAATCCTCCCTCTATCATTTGTAATTCTCTTCTTGCGGATTTAAGTTAATGCAGTAGTCTTTGATTTTAAAAAAAAAAAAACGCATCCATATCCACAAATGGTGAAACGGATAACAACAAAAGTGAATACGTCATTCCCACCAATGAAATATTTAGCTTTTTTTTTTTTTTTTTTAAAGCAGCGTTCGATATTTAACTATTCTCATGAGTCCCCTACTTTCTGCAATTCACTTTCTCTTCACCATTCCGTCTTATCCCAAAATGCCGTCCTCACTCTCTACCTCATCCGATAAGAATGATTACTTCGCCGCAGTTCTCGGCGCTGCCCGCCCTTTCCTCCGAGGGGAGCTCGAGAACGTTGACGAGAAGCTACCCTCTCTTGTCGCCGTCCTGCGCTCCGTTGGCGCCGGGGAGTGCTGGCATAAGCACGGGAGTTTCCTCGAACACCTGGTGGACATTTACCGGATACTCAAGCTATGGAAGGCCCCGGATTCCGTCTGCCTCTGCGGCCTCTTCCACTCCGCCTACTCTAACTCCTACGTCAACCTCGCCATCTTCGACCCCTCCACCGGCCGCGACACCGTACGCGCCCACGTCGGAGACGCCGCCGAGCACCTGATTCATCTCTTCTGCGTCGTTCCCCGCCAGCCCCTCATCCACGACGACCTCCTGTTCAAGTACACCGATTCGGAAATCACACAACACCTCGCGCTCTCCCACGCCTCCCTGAAGAACGCCAAGGAAAAGGGGGTGTTTAACGAGGACGAGACGTGGAGGAAGAAACTCCAGTCGGTGTTACCGGCGAGCGGGATCACAGTGAAGCACATCAAGACGGGCGAAAGCATCGCCATATCGAGGAGAATCGTCGCGATTTTCCTCCTAATGACCATGGCGGATTTCAGCGACCAGCTGTTCGGGTTTCAGGACGGGTTGTTCGAGAACTCCAACGGCCGGCTCGAATTCTCCGGCAACGACGTGCAGTCAGGTTTATGGCCCGGCGACGGAAAACCCGGCCTGTGGGTGAATTCAGTGTCACGAATGGGCGGAATCTACCAATTGATAGCCCGAGAAGAAGAGATTTACTCGGAACAAAGGAGAAGAGAAACCGGAATATCGTTTGAATCGGAGAGAGACGAAGAAATCGAGCTTGTGATTCCACCGGTGTTCGATTTCTGCACCAGAATTGTAGACGCCGGGGATCAGATATCGGGACGGGATCTATACTGGGAGGCAGTTTGTGAAGGGGCGAAGAAGGGAATGGATTGGGCGGAGGAGAGGCTGAAGAAGAGCATTGAGAAGAACCCATTTGTGGGTGAGGCCCATGTAGTATTGGGCCAGATTTATTTGGGCCAGGGGAGATTTGAGGAGGGGAAGAAGGAGGCTGAAAATGGGCTGACTCTCATATTGGAGTGGGGGAGCCCATGGGATAAGAGGATGTCTTGGGAGGGTTGGGTTTCTTGGGCCAGAGTGTTGGTCATGAAGGCCCAACAAAAGTCTTGGCCGCAAAATGCTTGGGGCATCCTTAACTTGGGCCTTGTTAGGTAGCATGAGTAATATGCTCTTGTATGAATAAATTACTCCTTTTGGATCTGATCTGGACTCCAATATACAATAATAATAATAATAATAATAATAATAATAATAATAATAATAATAATAATAATAATAATAGCAATCGTTATATCCTGCACCACGACGCACATAGCATTGTGCATTCTGCGCCTCCCAAAATGACGTTGTTTTGGGAGGCGTGGTAGAGAATTGACGTGATTACGTGTATTTGTTTATACAATTATGTGTAATTGTTTATACAATTATGTGTATTTTTTATACAATTATGTACATGTTTTTATACAAATATGTACATCCGAATCAGAAAATTATAAAAAAAAAAATGTGTATTTTGTTATATAATTATGTACATTCATGTATCTAATTATGTGTATTTTAATATAAACTTATGTACATTTTTGAACATGAGATTTTTTTTAAAATAAAATTAACCGCCAACACAAGTTACACAGGGCAGTGAAATTTTATTTTTAAATTGAAACGACGTCATTTTGAATCAGGACGCACAATGCAATGCGTCCCTGGTACATGATATAAATTGCCTAATAATAGCCTTAGCCAAATGGGTATCAATAAAATGTACTTTTTCATAATATAATGTACATTTTTAATATACTAAAATACATTATTTGTGTATTGAATGTACATTATTTGATAGTATGGTCCGTACTACAGCTGTAAGGACCATAGTCCACACAATAATTTTTGAGCTATTTTATACTTTTTAAATATTTTTCAGCTTAAAGAATCAATGCCCCACTACCAATATTCGATCTTTGAATCTTGGGAGCACTTATTTGGAATGGTAACAAACAGTGGCGGACCCAGAAAATTTTTTCAGTGGGGGCGAAACGCGTTAAAACAAAAGACATAGTTTGATAAAAAATTCAAACACTTAAAAGTATAGCCATAAATATTGTTGAATGTGGACGAAAAATAAAACGCATCAAAACTTTTTAAAAAAATATTCATAAAAAATATGACACATAATTAATTTGATAAAATAATTCGAATAAAAAATACATTATAAGCACATCTCATTATTAATATAAATTAAAGAAAGTGATATATATGCATGTAAATCTCACAATTAATTAATACGAAGTATTTAAAAGTTATAATAAAAATACGCCATGAAATTTGACACCTGAGTAAAGTCGCACAGACTCAACAGTTGAACCCAGGCTTCTTACAAAGATTACATGCCCACATTACCACTTGATCTAGTCATCCTTTATTAATTTTTATCTATTTTATTATACTTATACTAAAACTTGTACTATATATACATATATACATACAAGGGTTATATATGGGATGGGGGTGGGGTGAGGAGGGCAGCTGCCCCCATGTTAGGTCCGCCCCTGATAACAAAGGTGTCAACATCTTGTGTTACTTATATGATTATTGCTACTCACCCCCAAAAAAAATTTTCAAAATTTTCCTTTTTGATATGGCATTATTTGATTAATTACTGTATTTTTATTTTTTTAAATTAAAAGTTAGTTGAATCAATCAATTTATGACACTTAATAATTATATATAAGACATGTCATAAACAGAATTTAAAAAAGAAAAAATTGTAAGAGATAAAGAAGAATTTCCTATTTATATGTCTAATGGCCATGACTAGATCTAGCCATGGCCAAGCAAGGACTAGCGCCAACCTTTCTCTTTAGACTTTAATCAAAAAAGGAAGAAATTAAAGGCCATGGCTAGGCTAGCCATGATCACCATCTTTTTAATGATATGGTTCATTGAATAGATAGCATTCTCTATGGTTTAAAGCTACATAGTCATTAGAGTACATCATTCGATATATTAGTTTTTTAAAAAAAAATATGTAAAAAATATTAAATTGGCCCCTATGTTATTAATTGTTTACATAGTGAACTTTTTCTGAATTATCATCACCACAATGTATTACACACTTTGTTTCGCAGTTACACCTATCATTTCACCTTGCTATTGCTATATTAACTACTCATATTTAAATATTATTAACTATCACGTGAGTCGTTAAATATGATAAATGTTTAATATTAGAATTAAAGAATGATTTGATCCATCAATTATTAGCGAATTGTTTATGTAGTCCATCAATTGCTTATTCATCGATTTGGTCCCCGAAACAATTATTTTTAGTCAATTTAGTCCTTCAGGCCGTCTTCCGTCGACGGCCGAAGGGACTAAATCGACTAAAAATAATTGTTTCCAGGGATCAAATCGATGTTGGAGGGACTAAAATTGATATTGCATTTATAAGCATAACTTTACAGCTATGAAACAACTCTTAATGATTCTCTGAGCATCCAATCTAAAATCAGTTGGCAATTGATAAAGTGACTTGGTTGGTATAGTTGTTCAGGCCCGGATATTGGCTGTGCAAGCTGGGCTACCGCACAGGGCTCCAAATTTTAGAGGGGTTCCAAATTTTAGAAGCTCAATGTTTTATTTTTACCTAGTTAGTTTAGAAATAAAAATTAAAAGTTTTTAATTAAACTTAAAAGACTTTATAAATAAATGATAGGAACATGTATTCATTATATTTTAACTTTGAGGTCTAAGGTTCAAAACTTGTGCACACTATTATTATTCCATAATGTCGATTTTTACCTGTGCGTTGCACGAAAAAAGATTTGTCTTAAAATTATAACAACGAATATTATATAGTGCAATTGATGAAATGGGTTGTATTATGTTATCCTTTGTTTGAATTCGAGCAAATAATTGCCCAATTATCCGTGCGATGTGCGTGCGATGCACGAATAATTTTTTTTGTTATATATTTAGATAATAAAATTACGGTATTAGTTTTATAGATTTTTTAATTTTGGTAGGGCCTTATTTATTTATCTGAACAGGACTACAAAAATCTAAAAACCGGTCCTGAATTTTGCTCTCTGCTTTGTGTATATATATATCACACCTGTACGTTGATAGCTCGCTCCAACAACTTTATTGAGGGAAGAAGAGTTGAAGGTCTTTTTTGTATTTTCCTTTCTCTATCTGTTATAACTGCCACTAGTATATAAGGTGGTAGTTTCTTCTTCTTCTTCTGTATCGATTCATACATTCATGTACCAAACCAGTGAGATGAAAGCTTCCCGCCCATGTCTCTTTGAGTAAAGACTCTTTTCCAATAAACTTCTCGCTCCAACAACTTCTCAAACTTCTTCTTCTTCTTCTTCTTCTCAAAGTCTCACTTCAAACAACTCTCGATTGTTGGAGGATAAAATTGTCCTTTCCCTCTTTCTGTTTCTATTGGAGGCTACACGTACAGATTGATGACAAGCATGCAGATGGGGAGAAGCTAACAGTCACATTGCTCCGATCCTTGTCTATATATAGCTTTCCTCTTCCTTCTTCCCTCTCTGTAATGCACTCTCAATTCTGCTCTTACAATTCAA